CACACACTCTGGATATGTTATCAGGACAGTCCAGTCCTTGAAAAAGACAGAGTGCTTGGCAAAGTAGAGGGTTAGAGCAAAAGAGGAAGACACTCAACAAGATGGACTGACATGGTGGGTACCATCAAGTAGGAAGGATTGTGAGGATGAAGCAGGACTGGGCAGTGTTTCATTCTGTTGTACATCGAGTCACTATGAGTCAGAACCAACCCCACAGCACCAAACAACAACAAAAGCAACTACAAAGGAAAGCTAATTCTAGTAAGAATAATAGTACAATTTATAAAGATGTTAGGTCAAGCCTACTTCAAACTGTTGTGTGCCATTGAGACAGTTCTGAATCATAGTGATCCTGTATAGGGTTTCTGAGGGGCAGCTGGTGAGCTTGAATTGGAGATCTTGCAGTTCAAACCAACCACGCAGTCCAGCACATTGACCCACAGCACCACACCAGGACTCCACACCACACCAGGCAGTAGTGGGATTCGAACCTGAAGAGACTGGAGCCTTAGATTGCTCGGCCATGCTCAAAGTCATAGAACTGTGTACACACACACACACACACACACACACATACACAAGGCAAATTTACTATTGATTTCTTAGAAATATAATTTTTCAAGGCTCATGAGTAGATTTTTCTCCAGATTACCTTTCCTTTTCACTGTTTTTTTTTTTTTTAATCTAAATTGTTATGCGGGTTAAATTGTGTTCCCAAAAAAGGTTATGCTGAAATCTTAACCCCTCATTATCTGTGAATGTAACATTATTTGGATATGCGGTCTTTGAAATCAGACAAACACTAAACGCTATGCAAACGCTAAAATGCACGTTAAGAGTTTGCATAAGACACTAAAACTAAGCTAAAATGCAAAAGAAATCAATGGATCAAAAATTACATTCAAATGAAGAAGCTAACTGTTATGGATTGAATTATGTATCCCCAAAGTAAGTGGCAAGAAAAAAAAGTCTCTCATAGCAGGGTGCAAATATTACCCCTCAATAATTTGGACTAAAAATGTAAATAGATTCCCAAAAGGTTTAGATCAATTCACTCATTGATGGTATGTCCCAAATAAAAACTAAACTTTCAGGGGTAATGACTTTGGCTCATTAGGATTAGGGCCCTTAGAGTCTTTAGGGTCTTTAAGGTTAGGATCTTTGATAATGATTACGTGGGGGATAAATAAGTATCCCCATGTTTTGAAGTACTTTTGAGTCGGTTCTCTGTTGCAATTCCCATTTGCCAGTGGTCCCTGTCTCTCTTGTTAAATTTTACCACCCACACTTCAGTCTTGATTTCTTGGTCTCATGTATACTAAAAGTCCTGGAGTCCTGGTGTGGTACTGCAGGATATGCACTGAATCCTAAGGTTGGTTTGAACCACAAGGTCAAGCCTTGTGGTTCAAACAACAACGTAACGGACGCCTAGTGGAGCACCACTGCACTTGCATCTATGATGTCACCCCTGTTAGAGTCTTGTCCCTCTTCCTCTCCTTTGAGGACTGGAAGGAAACAGATGCTTCACCAACACCAGGCGAGGGACAGGGGAAGCTCACTCTTCCTTTCTGGCTTCCACAAACCTTGGTGTTCTCACAGGACAGAGTTCAACCAGCGCTTCAACCCTTCTCTCGACAAGTAACAAGTCTACCAGTCACGAGGGAAGTGCTAGGGAGTTCTCCTCCGTAAGTCATGGAAGTCTGAGTGAGGACAGCAATATTTGTACACAGTAATACATTTGAAGCTTTCCATTTCTTTCAGCAACCCTGGTGGTGGTGGTGGTTATGTGCCGTGGAGTCGGTTCCGACCCATAACGACCCTGTACAGGGTTTCCGAGGCTGTAAATCTTTACAGGAGCAGAAAGGCTCATCTTTCTCCCGCGGAACAGTTGGTAGTTTCAAACTACTGACCTTGCGGTTCGCAGCCCGATTCATAATCCACTACGCTACCAGAACTCCTTGTCAGCAACCCCACCACTCAGTAAATCCATCAATAAATGCGAGGGCTTTATGATTCCCAGAATGGGAGGTGATAGAGAAAAAATACCAAATGAACGAAGTGGGGTTTGTAAGGCAGTCACACAAAGCCCACAATATTGAATAGGAGCATATGAATAAAGCTTTCCCAATCTATATTTGAACTGCTGACCTTGTGGTCCACAGTTCAGTGCTGGTCCTCTCCTATAGCACCACACCACAAGTTCATAAAAATATATTTGTTGTTGTTAAGTACAGTCAAGTCGGTTCTGACTCATAGCAACCCTGTATAGGGTTTCTGAGGAGAGGCTGGTGGGTTTGAACTGTGGACCTTGTGGTTCCCAGTTCAGTGCTGATCCTACAGCGCCATACCAGGTATATGTATGTGTATATACATAAGCTATATGGTGGTGGTGGTGTGCTGCAGAGTTGGTTCCAACTCTTAGCAACCTTGAATAGGGTTTCTGGGGCTATAAATCTTTACAGGAGCAGAAAGCTGGTAGTTTCGAACAGCTGGCATTGCATTAGCAGCCCTACTCGCAACCCACTATTCTACCAGAGCTTCATATATACGTGTATATGTATGCTGTTGTTGTTGGATGCCATCGAGTCAGCTCCAACTCATAGCAACCCTGTATACCGACCTTGCAGTTTAAACCAACTTTGCAGTCCAATGCATTAGCACACAGTGCCACACCAGAACTCCATATATATGTACATTGCTGTTATTGTTAACTGTCGTCAACTTGGTTCTGACTCATAGTGACCCTGTATAGGATTTCCAAGAAGTGACTGGTGAGCTTGAGCTGTCAACTCTTAACTACAAGGTCGGTAGTTCAAACCCACCAGCTGTTCCTTAGAAACCCTATATAGGGTCGCTATGAGTCAGAACTGACTCGACGGCACTTAGCAACAACAATACATATATCAAGAGAGATGGAAGACAGACAAACCTTGCAATTTGCAGATCACTGAATATGTGTCTCAGAGATTCCCAACCCAAAGACCATCTCATGCCAAAAGGCCATGTTCAGAGAGCGCCTTCCTAACATGGGGAAGTTAGCCCTGGAGAGAAAGAACATGGTAACATAACCCTTGGAGGGAAATGTGTTTTCAGTTACACCAAAGCCTGGCTTTTCCCACAGCTCTTCTTCAATAGGAACTTGGCAGTAGGATTAGCTTGACTGGAGGGAAGTTCTGGGCTGTGGAGGTGAGGCCCTGTAGGGTCTTGAGAGAAGCTGGGCAGAAGTTTTCCCTATTGGTAACGACACTCAGGAACCAAGCGTCACAGAAGTTTTAGAAATTTTCTTGACAGGCAGCTCTAGTTACCATTCAGGCACCACAAAATCAAAACATACGCATGGCAAGTGCCCCATCTGTGGTGGGCCCCGCCAAAGTTCATGTCACATCAACACAAGGAAGCAGAGCCCAGCTCCTAAGGCCATGTGGTTGGCCCTGTTGGCAAGCCCCTACTGGAAGAAACCACTAGAGCTTGGCTGGAAGAGCCCAAGGAGCTGTCTTGGTGACAGTCCTTCATCCAGGGTCTGAGTTTTTCATGTTGACTATGACACATGGCTACTTCTGGCTGTGGGAGCTTGTCCCTAAGCATAAGACACAGCCACACAGACTGCCCTGCTGCCTACATTTTGCATTCAGCATCACTTAAACAGTGGGACAGCTGATGGACTAAAGTCAGTCCTCATTTGCAAGTCGAGTTCGAGCTGGGAACGCTCCAGTTGGAGTCATCGGGCATACAGGAAGTCTGAGAGAAGGATTTTTAAAACCCGGGTATTAATTGCTATGAACATACTTAAAGTGATTCAAGGTATTTCAAAACCATTTGTTCTTTGATGTAGAGCAATGTAAAATACTTACTGGTCTAATTTAAATGATGCAAGTAAAAAGATTCAGGGCCTAGAAAACAATATGGCTCTGAGTAATACAACTCGCGATCCCCAGAGTGAGCACTTGGGCAGAGTAAGTCAGCCACAAATACCCCATCCTTACCTATCCCTCTCACTCCACTCAGGCCCGTTCCCTCCACTCCACAAAACAAAGAACCGCTGGATGTGGGTGCAGAGGCAAAGAGAACAAGGACTAGAGGTGATGGAAGGGCATCTGCCCCCTTGGTGGTACCCTGTGGTGGTACACTCGTTCTCTATGTTATGAATTTGACATGATAACAGGATGAAGACTGTAAACCCAGGTCCTCAGCCAAGTGCCACCAAATCACAAAGACCCAAACTAGTCACTCTTGCTGCATTGGTTTGCCACGGTGACGGCCTAGGGTAAAGACTAACATTATGTTACCCTGGACTCTGCAGTCAATGCCTGGAAGCACACATCTGGACAGGCGAGACCGTCCTCTCCTGGCCAGAGCTGCTGCAACAGGCAGTGACCACTCTGGAGGCTGTGGAGTGGCTGCCCTGTCAGCTGTTGGGGCACACAGTAGACCAGGAGACGAATTCATCCAGACTGCCTGTCTCCCAGTGTCAGATCCCTACTCCGGAGCAGCCAGTTCATTGTTTCACTCTCCATTCAGCCTTGTTGGCCTCCTTGATTGTGCAGAAATAAATAAATGAATTAAGTTGTTGGGGTTTGGGCTTCAGCACAAACACATGGTCTGCATTTATCCTCACAGTGAGAGGTCCTCTAGCCACTTGATGTAAAAGAGCTAAATGATAATTCTTTTCTTTAGGCGCTCCAGTGCCATATGGAATATATATAAATCATATTTTTGTTTTAACAGCGGAGGCTTTGTTGATAGATAAACATGTGGTTTATCTAAAAAAAGACAGGATCGCGCTTTGAACAATCATTTAATGGCCGTGGATGTGCCAAATAAAAATAAAAACATAATTTTGAAAGCAGCTGGCCTTGTGCCCAAATCTGTAACAAGGAATTTCTCCTTAGCCAAAGTGGTTAAAGCACACCGATCTGTTTTGAGTTTAAGCTGTGCTCTCTACTCAACCCTACGACAAATTGAATCCTGGGCTAATGCGCTCTAATAAGACAAGACGTTACCTTTATGAATGACCTCATGGAGAAGAGGTTGGCAAGCATGGTGGAGAGGCCTTGAGCCAGGCAGCTTTGGGCTATGAAACCCAGCTTCAGTTCCGCGAGGCAGATTGCATCATCCCCCTCCTTCCAATTCCAGCTTGGGATGTTTAGCAGATGGGCCTGTGGAAACACAAACAGGTATGAGATTTTTGCTTTTGTGAATGTTCAATTGTTTAAAATCTCCTTGGGAGATTCAGCAACTGCCTGGATGGCTCCAGGTCACTGCAACCCATCTTCTTTTCTTTGTCTGATGTGTGAATTCAGCTCTTCTATTCCTCAGACTTCAGTCCTTCTAGAACACTGCTCTTGTTCCTTTCAAGCCCTGGTCCCTACTCTCAGATTTGCCAATGAGTCAAATCGAGCCCAGAGGAAATGTCTTCTTGTGACAGACAGATCAGCCCATGTGACTAGGACGTCTGCCTAAGTTGTTCATAAATTGGCTCCTCAAATCGACTGTGAGGTGTCAGGTGCCTATGTAGTTGACTGCTTCCTTTGTACTAGCCTTTCCGTTATCCTTGATCAATGGTCTTCAAACTTGAGTGGGCCTCAGAATTACTGTGAGGGTTTGTTAAATCACAGATTGCTGGGCCCACCCCTCAGTGAGGCAGGAAAAGGTATTACTGACAAGCCCTAAGTGATGCTGATGCAAATGCTACCCATCTGGGGACCACACTTTGGAAATCACTGCCCTGTGATGATTATCACAGATGTCTTACAGTCTCTCTCAGATGGCCTGGTCCTATTAGGCCAAAACCAGAGACAACGGCACAGAGTCCTGTTGCTGTTATCATTTTCAAGTGGCATGAGGCAGAAAAGCAAAGATGATAGATCGAAAGAATCAAGATTCAAAAAGTTCTCTAGTGTTGGGAAGATGGGCAAAAAAAAAACCCCACCACCAACAAAACAACAAAAAAAGAAAGGATTTTAAAGGTCTTAATGTCAAGTACAGAATTTGGGTTTAAAAAAAAAAAAAAGTTATTTAAATTCAAAATAAGAACACCTAACTTGGCAGACACGAAACAAAACAAAAACAAAAACAAAATAATAACAAGACAAAACAAAACAAAAAAAACCCAGCAGCAATATAAAATCAAAGGTAAAAACGTAAAGACTAAGTCTATAGTAAGCACTAGACTGCTAAGTGCCAGGTCAATAGCTCAAATCCACCAGTTGCTCCTCAGAAACTGTCCAGTTGCTCCTCACTATGAGCCAGAATTGACTCGATGGCACCTAACAACAACAACAAGTGTACTGGTAATTAGGCCCCAAATAGAGGCCAAACATGTGACACTACAAAGAAAGCCAATGCCTTCTTGTTAGAAATGGTCTGTGGGTCAAGGGAAATAGCCCATGACAAATACCATATAACCTTTATGACTTTAAAACCAATCAGCCAACAAGCAAAACTTTCGAAAGAGGGTTTTGCATATCTTCATGTGGCATCAGCATATGAAATCCATACTTTTAAGTCTTGGGTCTTTCCTATCCCCATCTAGTATGAGTTCTTTAGATATATTTTACGTGTTTTTAAACAGTCAAGTCAAGTTGGTTCCATCTCTCAGACTTCAACAGATTTCTTTTGAGAAGACAAGGTGAAAGTGACAAAATCTTAAAGAGAAGTCTACACGTATGAAACAAAGAGAAGAGATTGACCAGGAACTCAAATTCTTTGTTTCTAGCAACTTTGTCCTTTGACATTTGAGGGAAATATGGGTCTGATGGAAAATTCCAGAATCTAGAAACAAATCATTTCTAATTGGAAAAATTAAGTGGCAGGAACAGGGCCTCCCCACTGTTCCACACTGGATCGACCTCACTGAGACAGAATGTTAAAATAGGTGGTCCTGGGAAACCAAGAGAAAATCTTCGCACAACTTTGAAGAAGCTACCAGGAGAACCACAGGTCATTTAAGAGGATACACTTCTATACTACTATCTAGGGTTAAGGTCCTGGGTGGCATCTGTGCTCGACTACTAACCTAAAGTTTGAAGGTTGAAACCCACCCAATAGCACCACAGAATAAAGGCCTGGAAATCTGTTTCTGTAAAGATTATACCCAAGAAGACCTTATAAAGCAATTTTACACTGTCATACATAGGCTGGTGGCTGTGTGCCGTAGAGTTGGTTCTGACCCATAGCGACCCTGTACAAGGTTTCCAAGGCTGTACATCTTTACGGAAACAGATAGCCTCATCTTTCTTCCGCAGAACAGTTGGCAGTTTCGAACTGCTCACCTTGTGGTTCGCAAACCGATTCATAACCACTATGCTACCATGACTCATAACTGATGTTTTTTTATCCAAGCATGTTAGAGTTAGGAGTCCTGATGTGGCATTGTGGGTTAATGCGCTGAACAGCAAGGTTGGTTTGAACTGCAAAGTCGACAGTTCAAGCTTACCAGCCACTTCTTGGAAACCCTATACAGTGTCACTATGCGTCAGAACCAACTCTACGACATTTAACTACAACAACAAATAAGTGTTAAGAGTAAGAAAGCTCAAAGAACTTGTATCTCCATTGGGGCAATGAGGCTTGACTTCCAGGTCAGAGCCCAGGGCCTCTTTCACTAGAATGTGCTGTTGTTGTTAATGTGCCATGGGGTCAGTTCCAACTTACAGCAACCCTCTACAGGGTTTCTGAGGCTGTAAATCTTTACGGGAGCAGAAAGCCTCATCTTTCTCCCATGGAACAGGTGGTAGTTTCAAACTGCTGAATCTGCTAGGAAATGGAAAACCCATTAATGGCAAAATCACCAGGAATGACATTTTTCTGTGATGTCATAAACCATTCTTTTCTTGAAGAGCTTCACACCATTGACACTCAAATCAGAAGACACCTACACCACCTTTCTTCCAGGTACAGAGATGGTCAGGCTAAGAGTGTTCCTCATCATCAAGTTCTCTGTTGCTTTTTGGGGTCATCAAGACAATTCCAACTCACAGTGACCTCAGGCAGCAGAACAGAACGGTCCCATTGGGTTTTCTTGGCTGTAATCTTTATGGAAGCATGCCACATCTTTCTCCCTCAGAGGTGCTAGATGAGTTTGATCCAGCAACCCGTCATTAGCCAAGTGCTTATCCATTACATCACTAGGGTTTCTATCATGATGTTTCCTGCAGTTTTTAAAAAGATCCACCATGGAAAATACCAGTCCATTTATAAAGGTTGCTCTGCAAAATACAGCTTGGCTGGAAGGGCTGTAGCGCTATAGAGGTGGCAGTTGGCAAATTCTCCTCAGTTTGCTGGCTGCCTAGTGACCATGATTTGCGCCCATAAGGTTGTCCTGTCTGTGACAGAGCTTAGATCCCAAGGTCTGAAGTCACACTGGGATGCTAAAATGCACAGATGGTCAAATGAGGACTAAATGAGATAATGGATGTTGAAGCTATTTAAAAACCATAAAATATGATGCAAATGTCTCTGATTGTTATGATGACAAACTCGGAGCCAGCTTTATATGGAGGGAAAGTAGACTTCTTCCCTATATCCCTATAGCCTAGAATACACTATCATTAGATCATGTTGCTGTTGTTGTTAAGTGCCATTGAGTTGGTTCTGATCCATAGTGACCCTGTATAGGGTTTTCAAGGAGTGGCTGGTGAGCTTGAACTGCCAACCTTGCAGTTCAAATGGCTTTGAAGTCTGGCTCATTAACCCACAGCGCCACACCAGGACTCCATCATTACATCATAGGGGATTGAAATTCTATTTATTTCAAGCCCAATATCCAATTATGAAATGAACTATTTCTTGGAACACATCCCCAGTGACTTAATTTTGTACACACACACACACACACACACACACACACACACACACACCATGGTATTTCCTGAAAATGAGTCTTAAAGGTAGAGGTCTCCGAGCATCTAGTGACAAGAGAAGCCAAAAACATTTTGAAAGGGAAAACAGAATGTTGGCATTAGTTCAGTGGTGTAATGGACCTTAGCCTCCACAACCCTGAGACCAAAAGAACAAGATGGTGCGCCCAGCTTCCAGAGTCAACTGCCCTTAATAGAGTAGGGAGGAAATGTGGAAGAAAATGGAACAAAATCAAAATCCTAAGAGAGACCAGATTTACTGGCCCGAGAGAAACTGGTGGAAGCCCAAGACTATGGGCCATACTCACCCTATAGGCCTGCAACTGAACTCATCTTTGTGACGCAATTTTGCAAGTCTATAAGGTGAACATTAATACTTGGGAGGCATGTAGCCCTTAGAACAAGCAAGCAAGCAAGATGAAAAGAGTGGCATTTGCCCAAGGAAAAAGTTAGGAAGGGTTAGGAAACAAGAAGGACTAGAAATGGGGATCAAAGGGTAGAAGTGGGATAGGCAATTTTACATTTACATTTTACATTCAATGACATGAAACAAAATGCATATGAATTGTTGAATGGGAGATTGATTTGCTCTATAAACCTTCACTCCCTTCACAATAAAAAGTTAAAAAGAACAGAAAATGCTGAAAAGAGAAGTAGAAACATCTTAGAAGATACTGTCAAACTGTGAAGTAGAATTAAGAGCATCCATTCAGATTTCTCGACTTGATGGAACAACAACAACAATTTGGATTTCTACAAGAAATGAGACAGCAAACAATGCCCAGCGTACTTTCTTTTCTTATGTCTAGAAGATGATGAATAGTCTTTCCTCCACCCAATGGTATGGTAGAGAAAATTCCCCTTGTTGTCATTGTTAGATGTTATCAAGTCAGCTCTGACTCATGGAGACCGCATGTACAACAGACCATCACACTGACTGGTCCTGTACCCACTTCAGGACTGTCGGTATGTGTGTGGCCATTGTTACTGCCATTGTGTCAACCCATCTCACCGAGGACCCTGCACTCTACCAAATACAAAGTCCTTTCCTAATGACGTGCGTGTCCAAAGTAAGCAATCCACAACCTTACCAGTCTCGCTTCTGAGGAGCCTTCTGCTTGTGTGTGGTTCTTCAAAGACTGACTAGTTCATTCCTTGGGGAGTTCATGGCATGTTCAATATCCCTCACAACATCATATATAGTTCAAATGCATTCATTCTTCTTCGGTCTACCTTTTTCATTGTCTAACTTTTGCAAGGGTATGAGACAACTATAAAGACTTGAACTTGACTTAGGTGTGCCTTAGTCATCATTCCTCCTTAGTAATCTAACAGGGAAAGATTTCCTTAAGTGACTCTTCCTAACCTTGAAACTCAAACAGATTGGGGTGTTCTAAACAAAATGTGTTCTGAGTAGTCATTTTGAAAAGGTGAACATCTTCACCCTTCACCACTGTTTTGGAATAAATATAATGCAGAAATTTGTGAATGGCATTCAGGTGGCTATGACCACGGTAACACTGACCAAGGGCTGCCTGAATTCCAGGTTGGTTGAACTACTTGGGAGTTGGATAAGAATCACAGAACTAAAATCCGTTTTTATTTCTTGAGGGTGCTACATGAGCATTAACTGGAAGCAGAAATAAAGCAACTGACGTCTCTTTCTAAACATTACAGCATTAATTTTCCTATTCAATCTAAACTCAGCTAAAAATCTCAACAAAAGCTTAAAGGACTCCCACACCAAATGAAATTTCAAATCATAAATGAAAGGAGAACGTGTTCCCTCAAGAGCTGTCACCAGCCACACAGCTTTGCTATTAAAATTCACTTCCACCTACATGGGCTTCCATTAAAACAAAACAAAACAGCTTCTCTGCACGGAGGCTTGTGAATTACCAATATTCTCACTTTCTCTCTTCAGTGTCCCTGGGTTTTCTAGAAGGTAAACAACAGGGAAATGTGACCTTGGGTGTCCACTACCTAGCCCACCGGCTGGAGAGAATCGCATTCTGCAAGCGAGCCACCTGCTGAGGGTGGGGATAATGGTGGTAGTGAGCAGTCATTCTGAGTGGTGGGCCAGTTACCAACATTAGATTCCAGTCCATGATGTCCTCTACACGGTGAAATGGGTCAGCATTTGCTAGCAATTAAGCACTAATGGCACGAAGCGGGTGCATTTGGCACAATGGGATCTTCTCTGGGTCACCGGATTGCCCATTTTGTAAGGAATATGGCCAATCAACTGGGCGCGCTCTTGCTCATAACCCAGCCGGAGGTGTTGTGTTCATACAGGACACCTGACTCCAGGGACTGAGCAGTCTCCAGCTGCGAAATGCATCATTAAGGCGATAACCAGCTCCATGTCAGACAGAAAATGTGCCACCTTCCCTCCCCCAAAGCTGTCTACCTGGGAGTGCACTAGCAGGCTCAGAGAAGGGCCATTGCCTTCAGATGAGGGATAAATACAGAGAGAAGTAAGGCACAGAGAAAACACCCACACGGACTGACCTTTCCAATAGCCATGGGTAAGCTGTCACACTGGGGAACTCTGTTCCGTGTCATCCTGGAACAATAGCTATTTCCCAAAATTCATCTGTCCACATTGTCACTTGACTTTGAGAACATGTTCCACATTCTCCACCTAGAGTACATTACCTGTCTTCAAGTTCACCTGGTCTCAGACGTAGAAGTCACACTGAGGCACTTTCTACAACTTAAGTGTTCAATCTCTGCAGCCACAAAATACTATATCCATTGTGCTATACGCTAGAGTGAGACCCACGCAACCAGAATCCAATCACTGTTCATAGAAAAGATGACTGAGGACTGAGTGCTTGGTGGAATTTAAGACTGGATGGGACCTAAAAACACGCCAACTTAGGCATCCAACAAATGCAGACATCAAGAGTTTCCTTCCAATGCCCAATGGCAAGCTAGGTGTCTGAGATATAGAAAAGTCCTAGGAAACTTTCCATGCACTAGACCTCTGCATCCAGACTTTTGAGTGAGACTGTGTGTATGCATGTGTGTACATGTATGTCCACATGTGTGCATACATCGCTATGGTTAGGAAGAAGAGACTGGCCCCGTGCCTTTGGGTCCGGGCTAGTCTCTTGCTGTCTTACCTTGTTGTGATACTGCAGCATCTGAGTTATGATCCTGATCTTCGGATGGTAGTTCTTTATGGAGATGACTCTGGAAAAAAGAAAGAGACAATGCTGAGAACTCATCCAAGAGGTGACTGATGGGAAGGTTCATTTGATGACCTCCACATGGAGGTTCTGGTATGGCACTGTAGGATAAGCATTTGACTCTTAACTGCAAGGTCAGGGAGTCAAAACCACCAGTTGCTTCTTGGAAACCCTCTACAGGATCGCTATGAGTGCGAACTGACTCAATGGTATTTAATAACAACAAGTGGAGATGAGGGGTTCCCACACTCAAGGCCCCTCACAAGAGTTGCAAGCATGAGGCTAATAAACTGTCTTTCTACCTCCCACATCATACTTATTTTAGTGAAAAAGAAAACACTGAACCACCACAGAATCTGTCCTGGGTCTCCATGATGCTTTGGTGATGTGTGTGTATGTGTGTACTGGGCAAGGGGTGGGGTTCTGGAGCAGGGGTCTCGAGTATATTGCATACATCGGCATCTGAAGCTGGTTGAAATCCTGGCACGTTCAAGGTTTCCAATCTCGCATGCCCTAGGGATGAGTCCAGAAACACCCTGCTGTGGAATTAAATTCTCCAAGATAACAACTTGAGATGACAGTGACAAAGCAAGCAGCATGACAGATTAATCTCATTGTCACACGCACTTGGCTTCCCTCCCAGCATGAGCTCCCAGCTGTACTCTGGAGGAGAGCAACTCCTCAGCCATCAACAGTCAAGAGCATCTGAAAGATGACCCTGGGTCAGAGGTAAGGACCGAGGCTTTGCAGAGGTTGAAGTCTGGTGGGAACCACCTCCTCAAACATCCCTAAATCAGCATTAACCACCGTCTGCCTCCATCCTTGCCTCAATTCCCATGTCCACCTTTGGGAAGGAATTAATTCATCGTCCTATGGCAGGGTGCTAACGGGATGCAAACACCTGGGTCCAGTTGTTACGTGCTATCAAGTCAGTTCCGACTCATAACGACACTATAGAGTTCCCAAGGAGCAGCTGGTGAGCTTGAACTGCCGACCTTGAGGTTCAAAATGCCTTTGCAATCCAGCGCATTAACCCACAGCGCCACACCAGGACTCCACCTGGGTCCAGGCATTTATACTAATGACCTGGATGACCTTCAGGAAATCCCAGGGCTCTCTGTGCCTGTTTCCTCATCTGGACGTCAGGGATAGCAGTACCTGCTTTATTTACTTCACAGGCTTGGTATGAGCAGCAAATGGGAGACCAGATGTGAAAATGCTTTGAAATCATTAAACCCTCTCTCCACATGTAAGTGATGTTTTTTCTCATTACCAGCTCTGTCAGAGGTGACATTGTGCATTTCCTTCTGTGACAAGAAAGGCTAAAGAATGGAATTCCACAGAAAGGCCCACCCTCTAAGCCTGATCAGAAATACTGGTGTATTTATTATGACCACTCCACAAACTTCCCACCAAGATGTACTCTACACACCATAGCCATCCCTTTGTGTGCAAAGACACTGGAAAGCAAGGCAGTGGTAGCTCTGTTTGAGAGCTGCAACTTGTGAATTTGAGGCCTGGAGTTTTCTGAAGCCTCTGCCTATACAAATTCACCCTGGACTTTATGAATGTGAAGGATTTCATTTCAGTTTCTCAAAAGTGTTGCACTGGCTCATGTCTATAGCAAAGGATGGTGGGCCCATGTCACTCTTTAAGTCCGGTGAACAATATCCACCTGTTCTCTGCCTTTACTCATTTCAAATGTATCTTTGACTTTCATTTGTTAAGGGGCAGACTGGTCTCATTAAACTAAGAAGTAAGGAGAACTAGACGAATAAAAGGAAGGCAGAGTCAACTTTTAACTCTGAGTTTCCTATTTCCCCTGGCTCCCTGAGTCTTAATTCTGGTTCTGGTTAATGAATTGGTTGGTTGGTTGGTTATGTGCCGTGGAGTCGTGGAGTAGGTTCCAACTCATAGTGACCCTGTAAGGCTTTCTGAGGCTGTAAATCTTTATGGGAGCAGAAAGCCTCATCTTTCTCCCACGAGGGTAATATTAAACATCAGAGTCCACCTTTGTTCAGTCACATTTATGCCTTGGTATCCTGCTAATCATCTGGCTTTCTACACAAGGGGGGCTTCAAAAGGTTCATAGAAAAATTCCATTATCCTTTCATTCCATTTTCCCATGAACTGGTGGAAAAGGAAGCACTTGTCACTTCCGGTCACAGCTTAAAAGCAAAGACAAAGGAGGAGATGTTGGCACCGTAAAGATTCAACCCTCATGGAGGTTTTGGGGCAAAGGGAGGGGAGTGATTAACCTTACAGTCTAGGAACGGAGGTCCCTGGGACCGTCAAAGGAGAAGAGCAGAGAGTGGGACCCTACCCAGAGAAGCAGTGATGCCAGGGATGGAGGCAGAGATGATGACATGGGGAGATGGAGTGGCTGGAGACTTTGGATCTGGAGAGAGAGAGGGGCAGTGTGCGGACAACAAGGGGGCAGGTTTGCAGGGTATACCCTTTGGTTGATTGATGATGCATGGAAGGGCTGCAACCATGGCAAGGAAACAATATATGACAGGATCAATGTGAAGCTGATGTCCTCCCATGTAAACTATCACGTAATTCACAATAAAGCATTAACAAATCAAAACAAAAAGATTCAACCCTCAGCCTCAGGTAGATGCTCAGGATATAGTAACGAAGCTGCAGGTATCAGGAAGCTCTGTCTAGACAATAGAATGGTTGTTCACAATTAGGCAAGAGCTTCTGGGAATGCAGTGGGAAAGAAGAGCTTTCCCTTACTTCATCTCCTCTCCAGAAAGTTCTCTTGAGGAGGCCTTCCCACCTCTGCCAACTATACTGCAGCTCATACTAGAGAAGAAAGGAATGCCAAAGGGACTTTCACTGGAGCAAAACATCTCAACTTTTGGTCAGTTCGCAGTCACAGGGCATTTGAAATACGGCCTGAGGAGAAGCAAAATCAGAACCATTTTCTTCTGAGATGAGAAAAACACTAAAAGATGGAACTGGAGTCAAGATTGCATTAATGGACCTAACCCATTTTCAGGAAATCCATAGGGCAGTGTGTTGTCTAAATAAGTTTGAGAAATCACTATAGAACATTGTTCCTGAGATTCATATTTACACCGGGGGGAGGGGGGGCGGAAAAAAAAAAAATATATATATATATACACAAAGTCGGTGGTTCAAGCTCACCAGCTGCTCCTTGGAAACCCTATACAGGGTCGCAATCAACTCGAAGGCATTTAACAATAATATATATATATTGTTGTTGTTGTTGTTAAGTGCCATCGAGTCAGTTCCGACCCATAGCGACCCTGTGCAGGGTTTCCGAGGGTGTAAATCTTTACGGGAGTAGAAAGCCTCATCTTTCTCCCATGAAGTGGCTGGTGGTTTCAAACCGATGACCTTAAGGTTCGCAGCCTGATTCATAACCACTACGTATATATATATATATATATATATATAATTGTTATATAGATATAGATATATATTATATACATCTATATATCTATATATCTATATCTATGTCTCTCTCTATATATATATATAGAGAGAGTCCTGTTGTGGCACTGTGGGTTAATGCACCAGATTGTAAAGCCATCTGAACTGCAATATCGGCAGTTCAAGCTCACCAGCTGCTCCTCGGAAACCCTAAATAGGAACTGACTCGACGGCACTTAACAACAACAACAACAACAAGTATATATATACATACACACAAAAGCCCTAAGAAGACTTTCAGTGAAGAAAAACAAACTAATTTTGGGAAACTGGTTGAAACAGGATCCCTGGTGGCTCTGTGGTTAAAGCACGCCTCCGCTAACAAAAGGCCAGTGGTGTGAACTCATAAGTGTCTCCGCAGAAGGATAAAGGCAGTCTGCTTCCGTAAAGACTGACCGCCTATTTTACAGGGTCTGTTTGAGTTCGAATCAACTCTACCACAATGGGTCTGGTTTTGGTTGGATTGAAATAAGCTTTAACGGTGAAGGAAGTCCTTTTTCGAGGGAGAAAGGAGGCTACAGGTTATTAATCACATGTTATTACACATTTGGGGCTCCACAGCTCTCTGTTGTAGGGGGATACCTCGTATATTGTAACATGATCTCTGGCCTCTACTCACTAGATGTTGGTAACAGTTGTAACAATCAAAAACGTCCCAAGACATTGCCAAATGTCCCATGAGGACAAAGCGCCCCAGATTGCATCCCTCAGGTCCACTCCCTCTTAGGGAAGAGGTCCTGGAAGGGGGTGCTTCACCCATCTAAATCTGTCTTTCCTTTTCTAAGTATTTCATACCTACGCCACTTGTGAGTCTAGAGCTCCCAACTGTTAAGCACCGTACCCTTCTCACCCACCACTGCTCCCCCCAGGTAGGCGTATGCGCAAGGTGTGGGGTATCTTGGGAGCAGGGAGTTCAGGAGGGATGGCCCTCTGCAGAGGACTCAAAGGGTCTTAAGTGGAAAGCTGAGTGCCATGACCCTCCCAGATCCCCTTGAGCTTACCTCATGATATTGGAGGCATCTTCAGCATCCGGGTCAGCGCAGTATTTATTGGCAAGGATTAGGCACGCATCTGCTGACTCTATCTAAGACATCAAAAGGAAAATCGCAAAATATAAAGAGCAGTGGCTGGCTGCAGCCTCTCTTTGTTGACAGCTCTAGGGGAACTTTCTAGTGCTTTATACTGGAAAGAAAATATCACAATACGAATCCTCAGAGATTTTAGTTTTGTCAAAAGTGTGCTGAAAATTCTTGTTATGGTATAAAAATTTCAACTTGTTGCTTCTGGAGGGGACATCATATTCCTTGATAAGGGATACTTTTCATTTGGCATAGTCACTTACGTGTAGGCTTTCTAGATTTCTCTAAATTAACAATTAATTAAGCTTCTCAGTTCCTTCCCTTCCTTATTTTCTCGTGGTCTGAAGCATCATCCTAATTTTCCCAGTTGGGACATGTATGTAGCAAGGTGAAACCCCTCTGGCAGGTTAACAAGTGAACAATGCTGTTGGGGATTCAGAAATTCAGACTTCCAAGTCCTTCATCTAACTGTTTTTCACAGCTTTATTTTTCTGTGGAATAAGAGGGGGTCAGATAGCAGCTCCATTTTCTTCAGTATACAATTATTACTCAGATATTCAAAAGATCACAAATCTATATGTTACATACGATCATATAATATAATCTACTGACTTATTTAGGAGTTCTGGTAGCGTAGTGGTTACGAATCGGGCTGCGAACCGCAAGGTCAGCAGTTCGAAACTACCAGCTGCTCCACGGGAGAAAGATGAGGCTTTCTGCTCCCGTAAAGATTTATAGCCTCGGAAACCCTGTTCAGGGTCGCTATGGGTCGGAACTGACTCGACGGCACTTAACAACAACAACAACAACAACTGACTTATTTAGAGAAATCAAACCCCAAACTCCAAATCCATTGTCATCTAATAGATTCCACCTCGTGAAGGCCCCATGTGACAGCGTAGCGTTTCCTTGCCTCTAATTGTTACAGAGTTCACCAGGTCTTTCTTCACAGAGCAGCTGGGTGGGTTCCAGCTGACACCTTTTATGTTAGCACCTAACTGCTTGTGTCACCCAGACACCTTGAAACACGAGCCAAAAAAATCCTTAAAGAAGATCATGAACTTTATAATGCTGATATTTGCTTATATTTAAATTACGTCTATGAACAATAACATATGGTCTCATAAGACTTCACATTAGGATCATGTGTGGATACTATTAAGATTACTTGGACTGTCTACACAGAATTCTCATTCTGGCTTAGGTCAGTAATCTGTCCTACTTGGCATTTTATACTTCATAGACCCTTCTTGCATTTGAGGAAGGGTATGGTCTCCTCTGTGTGGTGCTGTGGGCTAATGCGTCAGACTGCAAAGTTGCTTGAACTGCGAGGATGGTGGTTCAAGCTCACCAGCTGCTTCTTGGAAACCCTATACAGGGTCACTATGGATCGGAATCAACTCGACTGCACTTAACGACAACAACATGGTCTCCTCTGCAGTACCAAGTTAAGAAAAAAACAACAAAACTATTGCTAAAATTCATAGAAACCTTTATTAAACAGAAGTATCTAAATGTGAAGCTGGTATTTGTCAACATATCCTCCATCTAGCTCAATGCACTTCTGAAGGTGGTGTTGCCATCTTTCTAAACCTTTCCAGAAGAATTCTGTACTCTTTGATATTAACCATATCAAGACAGTAGCTTTGGCATCCTTGAGGGACTTGAATTGTCTTCCTGTTCACAAAACCTTTGAGTTTTGAGAATAAAAGCAAGTCTGAAGTGTCAATCAAGGTTAGCACTGTGGGTGGATGAGGTAAGGTTTCCCAGTGAAATTCTCCTAGGTCTGTACTTGCTCCACTTGAAGAATGAGCAGGTGCATTGTCATGATGAAAAACATTCCCAGGTACCCCTTTCCTGGTCTTTTTCTGACCAAAGCAGTTTTCATTTTTCTTAAAACTTCCTCTGAATAAGTCCCATGATTCTCCTGTGTCTTTTGAAAAAAAGGCATCAAGATTACCCACTCTGTAATCCCAAAATACAGTTGCCATAAACTTTTGAGACGACTCGTCAGCCTTGAATTTAAGTGGCCTAGCAGATCCTCTCAGAAGCCACTGCTTTGACTGGACCTCTTCTTTGAAGGCATCCTAATGACACTTAGACAAGTGTATTATTGAGAGAACTTGTCTGCAACCAACTCCTGATCACAGAGACATGTTTAAACATGTTTCATTAGGAATAAACCTATGCATATATGAACTGGAACCCAAGTAGCAATGCTTTTTGACTTACTGTCAGATATCAAAACTTGTTTCTACTTTTCCTTAAAAGTCCAAAAAAATTACCGAAATCCTTTGGATTACTCATATGTGCCAATTAAATTATTTCCTTAATTACGTAATAGTCAGTGTGCATTTGCACTCTAGTGGTTTCAGAACGTTCATGTTTTCCCACTGGCATGTAAATACTGAGCATGCTTCCGAAATACATGTAAAATGAGTAAATTGTTGTTGCTGTTGTGATGTGCCGTCAAGTCAATTCTGACCCATAGTGACCCTGTACAGGGTTTCCAAGGAGCAGCTAGCTGGTAAGCTTGAACCACCAACCTTGCAGTTAAAATGACTTTGCAGTCTGACACATTAGCCCACAGAGCCACATCAGGACTTCAAAATGAGTGAATTACAGATGCCATTTTGTTGTATCCCTTTCTCCTCTAATCCACAAATGTACTTCACTCATCAACTTGTGAGAAGGCAGATTTGCCCAGTACCAAATACTATCAGGTTATGTTTTTGCACATAAAGTCTTTGATGGAAAGAAAAAAAAAGACTCAAAACATTTTCTGGCTTATTAAAATTGTATTTTATCCTCCATCCTGAGTAATCCGTACAGATCTCAAAAATAAATGCCTCGACTTTGTTGAGTCCAAGTTAAAATTCAAGCTAGGACTTACTTGATTATGCTGTATTTAAGACTACTGAACCACTTTCCTTAGAAGTGGTGGAAATTGAGAGAGCCAACTAAAGAAGTTCAGGCTACGACTGGTCCAGGGAGTCAGTCCTGGGTGATGCAAATGATCAACGTGCTTGACTGCTAACTGAAAAGGGTTGGAGGTCTGAATCCATCCGAAGGCACCTCAGAAGAAAGTTCAGGTGATGTACTTCCGAACAACTCAGCCATGGAAAACTCTGTGGAGCTCATTTCTGCTCTCACATGCATGGCAATATCATAAGCTGGAGCAAATTGGTTAGCAAGTTATGACAAACCCACTCATGGAATGCTTAGGAAGCCCAGTATAAGCCAGCAAAACAAAGTCTTGGGACCAGTAGAAGGATGTCATCAAGACTGGTGGTATCTGATGTATACCATTAGCATTTGAAGAGATGCCTTTTAGCCATCCTAGGAGGCAAATCCCCTCACCTCCGAGTCAGACCCTCCACCCCAAGATAGACTAAAAGCAGAAGTCACCAGCTCTTCCTTACCTTGACTCTAGCAAGATCATGCGGATTGAGGACTGAACCCTGATAAAATTCCACCTGAGTAAAATGTCGTTTGAAGAGAGCTTCAAGCTCCAGGTTAGGGGAAATGCTGTGCAGGGAGAGAAGAAAGAGTCATTAACCCAGTGAACTCAGAAACTTCTGCTTCCATGACCTCCCTTCTCTCATTTCTACAGAGGGGGGTCTGGGAGGGGCTTCCACCCTCCAAGCAGCGCCCTTTCTTGCCATAAATACAAGACTCACACTCAAGAGAAGTAAAGCCCAGGTCAAAGGAATAGCAAAACCATTACCCAGGATAAGGACGAGGTTCCCCACACACAAACATTCTACAGCCTGCAGCCAAATGTCTTAGACTTTGTTACGGATGGAAGTGTTACGTTCAGAACAGAGAAACTGAGGCCATGAGGATTGGGCAAAGATTCTCCTAGGAGAGCTGTCCTCTTGTTTCCTCCACCGTAAGTACCATGTGCCTGCCTCTCCTCTTCCCAGACTTCTCATCTCCCAAGGCCTGACTCAGAAAGGTCACCTCTGAGAAGCCCTAGACAGCGGGATCTTACTCTACACTCGTCTTGCATAGACATGATCCACACACAGGGTCCACAGTGTATGTTGAGTTGTAGGACTTCATATGTTTCCTTCCCATTGGAGAACAAAGATTTAAAAACCTGACCTATCCATTTATTAAATCTACAGAGATGGAAATCACCTACTCTCTATCTATACATTATTGTGCTGGGCACTGGGAATCTATATTCAATTAGAACCTGTGAAGTGCAAAGTAGTAACCTTGCTGGCACAGTGGTTACAGTGCTTGGCTACTAACAGAAAGGTCGGCGGTTGGAATCTCTCATGTGCTGTGCAGGAGAAAGTTATAGCACAAAGGTTACAGCCTTAGAAATCCCATGGGGCATTTAGGCCACTTGGAGTCAGAGTCAATGCCAGAGCCTTTTTTAAAAAACAACATTCCAAGTGTTAAATCAATTATTGCCTAACATTTATGACATATTTAGTAGTAATAATATGCTAACATTTCTAAGTGTTTACTGTGTGGCAGACACTGCTCGAAGCACTTAAACTTCATAACGACTCTAGTGCAAGGTATGTTATTAACCCAAAGCTGAGAGAGGTTAATTGACAGGGACATCCACTCCAAGTCTGACACCCATAGATGCTGGGGAACACAAAGGTTAAGCCTAACAATTGAACCTGCCAGCTTGTTTATTCAGAAGAAAGCAGCGAGGAGGGGGAAGAAAAGTAGCTGCCCACGCAAAGGCTTTCAAGGGTCCATTCCAAGTCTCTCCTGTTTCACCGGTTACGTTAGCAACACTAAGTGCTCCCTGATACTGATGCCCCAAGTGATTCGCATCTTAATTACAATGACCTCAGCATCCACGGATTCACTGGCTACTCCGGATCTTACATCATCCTCTAATGGTTGCACATGGGCTCATCTTAAATTCCCCCAAGTTATATGTGGGCAGAACCTACATACTATACTTCTCTTGGACAACACGTTCTGCCGAGGCCAGGCCTTGTGGCTGACAGTCACTGATGAACTACTGAGTTGGGCCTGTGGGTACCTGTTCCTATACTGCTGCAGCCGGGCATATCGTCCCAGAGTTTGGAGATTCCAGCACTCCAATGAAAAATGCTAGTTCTCAAACATGGTGGCAAGTCAGATATTTGGGCAGCACCTAATTCCAGGGCAGTCTATGAAGAGATCACAGAAAAAGGGGGTGCGCAGAACGAGGAGCCTATGTGGAAGTGAACCCAGGGTTCAGATGTCTCAGTGGACCCTAGAGCAGGAGAAGCTCAGAGCACTTAACACTAAGTTGACCCAACATCACTACATGAACTTTGTCCTAACCCTTTATACCAGGGGGCCAGGGTTGGCCCCCAAACATCTTCATTGCCAGATGACTGAATCCCCAAGTTCTCTTCTATGGCAGACAACCTTTTATCTATAAGGGGACCAGGGAAAGCTTAAAAACTTCCAGCGCCTCTGGTTAATGGCTTGTTTCCCCGATCTATAAAATAAGCTGTACCTCCTAATCTGGCTGTGCCGCCTCCTCTGTTTTCACTAACATTTCTCCACCACCTCCTGTGTCCCTGGCTCCACAGTTTATAAGGATTCCTGACTACTTCACCTCACTCCACACAACAGCCCACTGAGCTAGGAATCATACATATCACCCCATTGCATGGCTGTGAATGTTGAGTGCCAAGTTGACTCCAGATTCAGACCATGTGATCTGAGTGCAGTGCATACACCTTCACCCCTTTGGCTGAAGGCATCAGACAGATGTGCAGTGACAGGCATAGTACTCCAAAGCATCCCTTGCTGAAGGTTGCTAAAAACGGCAGTTGCGGCTGTTGTCGTCACGTCACACACTGCTCCCTCTTATGTGTGGGTCTGGCCTGGGCAGTGTCTTACTCCTACCTCCCCACACTGACCACAGCACACAGCTAATCATCTCACATCCAGGTGTGCAGACATACCTGCATCACACCACAGACCCAGGCTGTGAGGGGACAGTAGTGACGTATAGGGCCAAGAATGAATTGCAATGCTATTTCTTCCAGAGAGGAATGCAGACTCTCAGCACTAGAATTGTTAACCCGGAGGCAGGCTCGACTCTCCTCATTTACCTAGTCATTGTTTTTCTTTCCATTTGGTTCTGGGTTGACCCTTTCAAAGACACCAGCAGGTGGGATAGCTTATACAAACTCTGCCCTGTCCCCTCACGCTGCTGCCATCACCCCCACTCAGGGAGTCCCCACACATGGTGCAGGGTTGAGCCAAGGGATTATCAAACAACAGGAGCTGCTTACTTGTGAAGAAAGACAATCTCCACATTGACATCATCCCGGTCCTTGTGCAGAAAGTCCTTCAGGAAGTTGGAAACACTCTCCAGAGTGATGTGTCCACAGACTACAATGTGCCTGCATGGGAAAGACAGGTTAGATCCACTGGACCCGGTGACGCCTTAGCACCCACACCCTGGCAAGACAGGACAAGCAGCAGCTGCAGGGGAAACATCCATCACCTCCCGCAGCCTCCATAAAACCCAGCTCCCATTCCCCCGAGGGCTGTGAGGCAAAGCAGCGGGCCTAGCAGGTGCTCAGAGACTCCTAGACGAAAAAGGCATATGGCTCTTCACCTGATGCGGCACAAAATCCTATTAAAAGCACAACCGTTTGGCCAAGTGGTTTTATGCATTTAACAATAAGTGACATTATGCTTGTGTTTAAATGCTGCATTATCCAGCCTCTTGCAGATTCATATCTCTCCCTTTCTGCCCACAAAGTGTCCTCCCGGGAGATTTACTGTATGAGTCTTGGTTTATGACATAGAGCTTATCAGGTAATGAGATAACAAATCTTGCTGAAATGATGATTTTGTGTGTAAGAAAGCGGACTTTTATCAGGGGGGCTAATGTGTGGCTTGACACATTATAGGCTCTGCTGGCCATAAGCTGTAAAAAGGAAATTTTGCATTTTTCCGCCATAACTCCTCTGACAGTGGGGCATGTAACACTTTACAGTAAGTGAGCATTACTCAGGGCTAAATGGAATGGTACGCCTATGGAATAGGAGATCAGGCAAGCAGCCTGTACATCCTGAGAGGGTTACATCCTTAGGGTACTTGGGATGTCCAAGAGAGCCAATTGGAATTTACCCCACGATGGAAAGAGGCCAGGAAGGGAAGAGGGCAGAAATGACGGCTCTGTTCTAAGGTGGTTTGGACTTCTACCTCTGGAGATGGTGGCTACCCCTCAGGACAGGGTACCTTGGCCAGAAATGGAGCAGACCCTACAACTTTATGGTGCTCCTGGACCAATCTGGCTTTTCCTCTGGGCTGCTACCATACCGCCCACTTGCTCAAAATTGCTACATGATTCCAAGGAAATGCTTTGGTGCAAGACAAACTCCCAAGACCACAGCAGGAATGCCATGTGGATATGAAAGCGAAGACAGTGTACAGAGAGGGTTTCCGCCTAGGCCTCTAGCCCACTCAGGATGATCATGACGGGTGGAATCTCTGGCTGGGCTTTGAGACTTGGGCAGGTGGTGAACATGAGGGATGGTAATTTGCTGGGTAAAATTGAGAACGAACAGGTCTCCTGCACTTCCTAATTGCTCCTTGCGCATTCCAACCGGGCGGCGTGCTCACTGGCTGGAGGCAGCTCTTAATAGGAGACAGTGATGATCACTTAGGCAATGTCCCATTAGGTGTCATTACAAGAGCCTGCCCTTTTGCTGTAATTTGGTGCTTGACTAAGTGTGTGCGAATAATGCAGTAAACTCATTGGTGAAAGGATAATCATGCAGAACAAAGAGTAAATCAATAATGTGCATGGTGAAGTTAATAATATCACCATTATGGAGTGTTATTGTTACAGTGGTACAGTTAGTGATCGGACACAGGGAGGGAGAAACGTCCGTGGACTGCTTCACAAGAGACGGGCAGCAAGATCACTTTGCTCTCTAGCCTGGACTTGCAACATTCAGGGAAGGCCCCCTGGCTTCCGGTCTAAATCTCATGGCTGAAATTCACATGACTAACTCCCTCCTCACTTAAGAACTGCAACATACGCTGTTTATCAGAATACATAATGTCAACTGAGCATACAAATTTTATACACTCTACTCATGCCCGGTATTTGCATGTTTCTTGTGGCACATGTACATCTTTTTTGAACAAAAACGTAGTGTCAATGAATTACCATGTTCTGAAGAAGATTTCTGATTCTGAATCTGTTCCTTGTGCTCAGAACATGCCCAAGCAAGAGGATCCTTCTGCCAACTTGACTACCCACACATGACAATGGGACTTCCTGTGTAATTCTAATGCTTGCTGACCACAAACTTCCAAGATAGACAATAAGGTCAATATGAACCCCACTAAAGGAGCTCTGGTAGCATAGTGGTTACGAATTGGGCTGCTAACCTCAAGGTCTGCAGTTCGAAACTACTAGCTGTTCCATGGGAGAAAGATGAGGCTTTCTGCTTCCATAAAGATTTACAGCCTCGGAAACCCTGTGCAGGGTCACTATGAGTCAGCACCAACTCCAAGGTACTTAACAACAACAACAATGGAGTCCTGGTGTGGCACTGTGGGCTAATGCACTGAATTGTAAGGTCGATTTTCAACTGCAAGGTAGGCAGTTCAAGCTCACCAGCCACTCCCTGGAAACCCTATACTGGGTCACTAATGGGTTGGAACTGATTCGACTGCACTTAACAACAATAAAAATGGGTACCCCTACAAGAAGGGGAAAGGGAGTCAGCTCTGATTTCCTATTCTGCCATCAAAGGTACGTGTGACAGCTCTGGTAGCGTAGTGGCTTACAAACTGGGCTGCTAACCGCAAGGTCAGGAGTTAGAATCTACCAGTCTTTCTGCAGAAGAAAGATGAGACTTTCTGCCCCCCGTAAAGATTTACAGCCTCGGAAACCCTATGCAGGGTTGCTATGAGTTGGAACTGACTCAGTGGCACACCATTACCATCAATGAATGAGGAAATCATTCATTCAATGAATGAATGAGGAAACTGAAGTCTGAACCACCCTTCCAGTCTATTGGTTATTGCACCAGGCATTGCAAGTTCAAAGCTCTGTACCACAATAAACCTGGTTGTGACTCAAAGCTGTCCTCAACCAATGACAGGTCCAGGGAAATGCCTGAACATTCGTCCTTTCTATCCGGTATGCAAAGAAGTCAATGGGCATCTGCCAGCATTCCCTCTTCCTCTTCTGAAATCATTCATCCCTGAGAACGATGTGTGCAAAGGAAAAGAATAGGAGATGAGTTCTCCCTCTCCCCCTCAGTCAGACTGATTTATTCAGCCTTAGAAAGAGTCAGGGTCCTCTTAGCTGAAAATGTGCTGGATGCGTATAAAACATATTCCAATGTAATCAATATTATCCCTTAAGCCTTTAATTAGCTTTCACTTCTCTTAAGAAGTAGACAAATGCTGGCAAGAAAAGAGACCGAAAAAAAACAAAAGGGTTGTCTTTTCTCATTTGGTGCTGGCTGTCCAATATGATTCTAGACAATCGAAAATATATCTTGTAGCTCTAGCATGATTTCTGGGGTGGAAAGCAGTCTTTATCAAAAAGAAAGAAAGGAAAAAAAAAAAAAACGTCTTCCTTCAACATAATTGGTATTTTTGCTCCGAATAAAAGAGATTGATTGAAAGCAGATTGCCTTTTTGCCCAAGGAGAGTTATTAGGGACATTATCAAGGCAACCTTGGAGAACTCATATTGTTCCAATCTGTCCTATATCTGATTTGAAGATTTACGGCTTCCTCCTTTTGTGCCAATAATCATTTCCCTCCATCTTGTTTTCCATACAGTGAAAGTGATCAAGGAGCCCACATACTGAAAAAGGTTGGACTGCAGTTAGAATTGATGGATGGGGAGAAGCTGCTTCTCTAACTTTGCATCTGCATCAGATCTGCTGCTGCCAACCAGTGCCTGGGGACGGGGGCCCCCAGGAGCATCAGGGATGGATGGTGAGGGGGAAAAAGTTATTTTTCCAAAATATTTTTAGGACTTCTGACATTCCAGTGAAAGTAGTTATGTTGTTGTTGCCATGACATGGGATCTGACTCATAGCCACTCTGTATAGGGTTTCCAAGGAGCTACTGGTGGGTTTGGACTGCCAACCTTGTGGTTCACAGTCCAGTGCTGATCCTACAGCACCACACCAGGACTCCGGAAGTGGGTATAGGAGAGATGTTATTGAAGAGAGAAGATATTTATTGAAGATATCCTAAGATTGAGAGCCGGCTGTGCTTCCCTAGGAAGGAAGATGATTATTGCCACCACGTGATCAGAGGAACACCAATAAGATTCCCATCCCCAACCATTTCTGTTGGGTTCCACGATACCTACAAAAATACCTTTTAAGATTCATATTTTAATAGGCCCGTGTTAGGAATTCAAACTCAACACCGGTGTTAAATAACTAAATAGTCTTGGACAAGGTCCTAAATTCTACATTTTGTAACTAAGAAATCAGAGCCCGTTAGGGAGGGAGGAGTACGTGATTCATGAGGTCTGCTGAGGGTTTCTTTAAGTAGATTTATTTAAATAGCTTAGTTTATTTAAATAGCAGATGGTGGTGGTCGTGGCTGTGTGCCATGGAGTCGGTTCCGACTCATAGCAACCCTGTACAGGGTTTCCAAGCCTGTAAATCTTTATGGGAGCAGATAGAACTCTCTTTCTGTAAACAGGGGCATGCGGAGGACCTAATGAAGGGTCTGGCTGGTTGTGAACATGATTAACTGGCGGGATCTCTAAATCACTATTTAACATATAGCCTTTGTAAAGTGCTTTTTGGCCTATACTCTTATTGTTGCTCTTGGTGGTGGTAAGTGCTGTTGAGTCCATTCTGACCCATAGCAACCACGTATAGGGTTTCTGGGGAGTGGCTGGTGAGCTTGAACCATTGACCTTGTGATTCAAACCTACTTTGCAGTCCAGCACATTAACCCACAGCGCCACACCAAGACTCCATAATCTTATAATCTTTTCTTTTCTTTAAGTTTTCATTGTGAATTGAGTGATAGTTTACATGGGAAAACATCAGTTTTTCACTCATCATTTTATCATTCAACAGCATTTGCTTCTATTCCCTCTGGGTTTTTTTTTTTGGATGTACACAAAAACACTCAAGAATATACAATCATTTAAACAACTAAAAGGCACATTCTTCAAGACTGCCTCTTGGCAGCCAGCACACAGCCTTTCTCTTTCCTTGAGTCTAGAGTCCTCAGCTGCCCTATTTCTCCATGCCATCACCTCTGCCTCTGTCTCTGGTGTCACTGCTTCTCTGGATAGAGAAGCATACTCCGATTGTGCTCTTCTCCCTTGATGGTCCTAGGGCCCTCTGTTCCTGGACTTTAAGATTAACTACTCCCCCATACTGTTACAG